ATACACTGCCAGAAATTTTGTTTCCTTCTACATTCATATCATTTACAAAACAAAATAATAAACAAAAGCAAAACAAAATTGAACAAAACATTTCTCTTTTTCAACCGAATTCAAAAAAAGTTGAAGATACTCAATTCGATTGTGTTTCTTTTTTTTGGTATATTTGTTATGCGATTACTCTGTCAATTATGAATTGATTTTGATGATTTTTTTTTGTTTGGTAGGTCATACTTCCGGGGTGGTGCCATATAAATTTTATTGAAGTCGTTTTTGTTTTTTTTTTTTAGTTAAGTATATAGAAAACCTTCCTGAAAAAACCTACATAGAGTGAATAATTGTTTTATTTTACCATTAAGTAATCGTAATGACAAGTCTACCTATCTAGATGTAGCATACGTAGATATTATACATTTACATTACATGTTTCAGTGAGTATTAACTGATTAGATACATATTAAACGAAATAAAGAAGAACTAGCAAAAATTTGCATATAGTTTCATGCATATACGTACATATTTACACGGTTAATTATGCGATTCAAGGAGCAGCTAGGAGAAAAGGACGATGCAAACATTAAATTTAATTTAATATAAGCCTCGATGGTAGTACGGTTCAGACAACGGTTTGTTTTCATATGCCCTGAAAACTTGATACTCGCAAGTTTCACATTTAATTAGTCTCATAATCTGTTAGGAATTGCTAATGAAAATCGTTCAGACCGTATTGGTATATATTCAAGTAGATACATGTATTAATAAGTCAGCTACCTGTTGTTGGATAAAAATTAAAACTGTGTTAATTAATTAACTAATCGATGCATACACTTGTTAAGTGATATCGGCTTCGACAGATAGTTTATTAACATACTATTTAGACAAATTCACTGATAGTAAACACAATAGTTTTCGTGTAAGTCTTACCAAAAACAAGTACCATCAATACCAATAGTTTATTTTGCCAAATTTAATCGTATGATCCAGTTCATCTTTTTAATAATATCCATGAGTTTACAAATGAATTATATACAATAGAATTTATTGGAAATTGTCTTCGCCTAGGTAAATAATGGGTCAAAGAATTTACATAATTCGGAAAGACATCATAAGAAATAAGATAATACATAATTGAAGATTTAGTGTTTCTCACAAATCATTAATCTAAAAGCACCTACGTTAAGTGTAATGACAAGCAACACGAAACTACAGGTGTTTATGCAAGGTCAAAAACGACTATTGTAAGCAAAACTAAAATCACGACGGACTACTCTGAGTATTTGGAATTGATATTGACACAACTCCACAATGTTCAAAACTTGCAGCATACAAAGTCATCATCACGGAAGCTCAATTTCAGAAAATGGAAACTCCTAAAGTATTTCATAAGTGCTACATTGCACTATCCTGATAAGATAAAAATTCTTTACAGGTACGTTCTTTTTATTGTGGAAGATGATTAGCGAATAGCCTGTTCCTGTATAAGGTATAATAGGTCCAGTGGATAATTCACATTCCATTCGATGTACTTTCAGTAACGTCCGTTTCCCGATTAAACGCATTTTAATCGCAAACCAATCTATCTCCAAGATTAGATAATGCAGCCGAACAGATAATTGTATATATGGATGCAATGGCAGGCGCAGGAGCTATCATGAAATAACTGTAATTGCAAATATTGAAACATGCTCAAGTACTTATAGGAAGCGTGGCATTTATCTAAATCCTGTAAATCTTACGGATATCAAATTAGATAATTTTAATCTTATTATAGTGCGGATGGTGTACGAAAGTGACCGCTACAGTACGAATTCACTATTACGATTACAATAAAAGTGCAAATTGTATCAATTAATAATATACGTATAGATAGAGGGTTGTAATAATAAGTTACCATGGTACCATTAGATTATAAAATTAATTATTTGATTTCGATAAACTTTTTACAATTATGTAATTGTACGACATTCAGTTTCATCATCATCATAGGCAGAGATGTGATTTATTTGAAATAATTGGATTTAAAATGCAAATACAAAATAAAAAATACTTATTTTTATCTTGCATTTAAATACTTTTTATTTAAAACACTTTCCAAACGTATTTTCTATTAGTAAAATACAAAATACGTTAAAAGTTTTTCTAGTACAACCGATTAAATAAAATTGTAAACTCCTTGAAAATGAATAATTTAAAATATTGAATCGATGTTGTTTTCCGGGTTCAATGTGTTGGTCCATGAAATTTTGAAGCTCCAAATTGATATCAGCACCTGCCAAGTTACCACTTTTCGTACCTTTAGCAAGAAACTACGAAATTCTATGAATTATTGCTGTTTAAAACTGAAAACTACAATATATTGTGGTGTGCTAATAAATGCCTATAATCCAAAATTCTTAGAAAACGATTCGAAAAACTTCACTTATTAGATGAATTCAAACCTAAAGAAACTATGGATTCCATTTCTTTCTCTTATTATAATGTGTAAAAGATCGGAAACCAAATGGGGTTGTAAATATTATGATATAAAATGATTGATGTCGATTTTACATCAATAAAATTATAGCAACCCTATTTTGGCTCTGATCTTTCACGGCAAGCAAACTATTTTGGCATTAGTGTCTCTTTTCCAGTTAAAACGAGTGACAAAGGCAAATAAGGAAGAATATAGAAGAATTATTTGCTGCTCAAGTGGAGAAACTATAACATAAAGAAAGAAAAACTATATCTCAATCACTTCAAACTGAAAAATATAAAAAAAACTTAATTTAAGCAAAATACTCAAAACTTTAAATGTTAAAAACTCTGTAAATCCAGATCTTTAACGTTTCCCTGTCAATATTAACTTATCCATCAGGATCTACTGAGGAAAAAGGAACAGTACAAACTTTAATCAAACAATATGAAGCTATGGTGAAGATGATTAATGACAGTAATTTAATCGGTCATCTTTCATGCAACTGATTTATAAAAATTGTAATACGTAATATTAATGGCAAAGTTATTACGAATATAATAAGCTTTAAAATTAGATTTTATAAGACGATTATCTGCGAGGGAATCACGACTTTGTATTATTATTAACATGTAACAACCGCTCTACGACTTCTTCAAATTGTATGTAATCAATCAATTTAATTATTATTGTTGCTTAGTTTCTTATTAAGTTTAAGCTTTCTAGACAACCGGGAACTCGAGAAGAAAAATGAAAAAGTTGCTAGGGCCGAAAAAATCGTTTGTGACTATTTTGATCGACATATAAATATATGAATATGTACCTGATGTATTATAATATAATCAGGGACGTATACTTCGTTTACTTTCTCTAGCGATGTGCCCCTTCCAATGTCTTGGATGTGCACTGGCAAAATCGTAGGTAGGGAGAAAAAAGCTCATTATACTCTCGACTCTTGTTCATCAAACAAACTTTTTCATACAGTACCTGGCAAAAGTTTTGTTCCATTATGAGTAGTAATGCGAGTCGAAAACAAGCGTTAAAGCCTTTAATATGTCTTCAAATATAAATAAACATCTCGTTGATATTTTCAGTAGTAAATGGTACCAATAACAGCATATTTGAGCAATGCAATTGTAGTGGATAAAATAGTCAATTTTTCCGTGCAGTACTGTACGGATTATACGCTTCTCACCGGTTAAGAGTTTGGCCGAGAGTTGTCTCCTTCCTTTTCTGGCCTAGTGCTGTTCTTTTCTACTTTGCGCCGGTCAAACTGAAGGTCACATCGCTACAGAAAGTAAACGAAGTATAGCAGCTTCTTTTATATGAACCAAAAGTGGGCTACACCGCTGTACATTTTAAGTTCCATACAACCCAAAACGCCTTATCTTGGTATAAAAAGATTGATGTTGATTTTACATCAATAAAATTATTGGCAACCCTATTTTGTCCCTGATCTTTCACGCTAAACAAACTATTTTGGCATCAGTGTCTTTTTTCCAGTTAAAACGAGTGACAAACGCAAATAGGAAGCGTATAGAAAAAATAATTGTTGCTGAACTGAAGAAACTATAACATAAAGATAGGAAAACTACATCATCCTCGGCGTCTTCAACTCGAGTGGCATTTCACATACAGGACGGAATATCGTACTTTCTTCCCTTGGTGCGTAATACAGTAATATTTAAATTATATCGGGTATAGTTAGTTACATGTTCCATAACTTTTAATGTCAGAGCTTTGGTCCACCTGGGCCCACAAGTATTAAGTACGTCTCTGACTATAATATTTATACAAGAATTTCGTATATGGTATTTTACTTTCGGTACCAACCTGGTATAAATTCTATATGTATAATCTATTCACTATGACAAAAAGTAGCTAACACACCTAATACGTATAAAAAGTATAATAGTAGTTGTGCGACCTTCAGGTAAAACATTAAACTTGGTGTATACATAACACTTAAATATGCTGGCATTCTCCTTATAAATAATTATTACGAAAATATCCTTGAGATGACCATTTGAAGTTCATCACCCCCCAAAAAAATCACTTCTTAAGCTCAATTCAAAATATAATTTAGCCTTACAGTTGTTAAAGTCCTTTAATTCTGATTGCAATGAGTCAATTACGCCCTGAACAATTCAAATCCGTTTTTACTATCTCACTATTATTATTTCTTATTTATCGTAACCTTTCTTTTAATTATAATTAGTCATGGACAATTACAAACTTTAACACTAATTAATAAATTTTAACTTCTCCTTGGACTTATCCTATACCTGCTACATGAAAAGTTGTCACGTATGCCAGAACACACATAGTAGCTTATTTAATCTGTTCACTACCCCAAGATCCAATCATAAGTTTTCATTTCATCGGATAATCATACGGTTTTTAGCGTATTTTTAGTTAATCGAGGTTGTTAATTCATAATTACTATGTAATTAGTACATATGTAAATTCGTATCGATTAGATAATATATATGAATATACGTATAGGTGATAATGCACTTGATTTTAGTTATAAATACCCACATGGCAATCTAGATCAATAACCTCTACATAAATATGTACGTATGCAGATTCGTAGATAATAGTTAACGAATTTATTATTAAACGTGTATCTACGTATAACAATTACCTAGGGTTCCGTACGTTCGAATGAGAAAAGGAACCCTTAAAGGATCACTCGTGTGTCTGTCAGTTTGTCTGTCACAGTCAATTTGCTCCTAATTAATTTTATTTCAATTTTTAATTGTACTTAATTGTCCACGAAATTATGGTAGGTATAAGAAAGTTCATAAATTAAGGTCACCCACCGCTTTGTATTTACTTCTACATACGACAAGAACAGTTTGATGACCCGAATGCCAAAAATTTATTTATTCCAGTTCTACCTTTTGGTAACATTCTTTTATAAAAAGCAGTTACTTATTGTATTATTTTTGTTGCGTAAGTCGTAATCTGACTTTTTTACACAAATTAAATTTCAGTATGTAGGTACATATCTTTTGTTATTTTTATAATGTGGAGATTTTTGAATGCATACTCATATCGTTGGTCAACCATCAAAAATTAATATTCCATTGTGTTATAATCACGCAATAATAAAGAATAATGTTACCAGTAAAACAAACGAACGCCTACATTTTAATTAGTCTAATAATCTGAAAGCAGAAACTGCAATTAATTAAGATAAAAACAAATGAAAACAACAGCCATAATAAAACAAAACACTGTTTTGTCATGCTGATTGTTAAAGCGTATTATTGACATTTATTTCTAATAAAAATGAAAAATGGCGTGTTTAGATAATTATATGTGTCATGTGTTGATTTATGTACATATACTTACGTCCCAGACAAGTGTGTTTTCTAAATTGCAAAAATCCGTCGACACACCTACACGTTCCATCGATACAGCTACTGTGAGCCACCCTTAAAGAGCACTGTTCGGACACGACACATTCGTATCCTAACAGAGATGCTAAAATAAAATAAAAAATAGGTAAACGTCTATTAATCCTGTTATTCATAATTTTTGGGAAGGGAACATGTTCGACATCTGTAGGAACAGTAACCCTAAAATTTCAACTTCATTTTTTGTTATACTTTAGATTTATTTTGTCGTTTTCATTAACTTTTATACGTGAGATTGTGGTAAAATAATAAATAAACCAAGAAAACAAACCCTATGTAGTTACCACAAAAACTGTTAACTGCAGACTGTTTAGCGTTGACAGTATACAGGTTTTGTGGTGACTGGTGTGAATCCTTTTTTGGTTTATCGACCACAAACAATAATTTATTTATCACCGTTTCGTCTTCTTCTTCCAATTAAAGTACAAGGTTGAAATGGGACGATAACTTTAATATATCTGCCTTTTGAACCTATTTTACATAATACTTACGAGATTAAAAGCAGGACTCCAGATTTGCATATCATTAATACGCTGAACATCACAAAAATGTACAGAGATAAAAAAATAAAAGCAGCTCGTATATGTTAGCATGTAGGACTGGCAGGAGGATTTTAAAATAAACATACTCGGAATAATTTGAATTTCAAATTATATTGTGCCATCTTCTTGTTGAAGTGACCAAAATGGTAATTTTTTGTTTGCTTATTACTTTAAAACAAATCGTAAATCAATGACACAAAGTTATAAGTTTTTCAAGTTCAATCACAACAGTATTTCTGATCGTGGACAATCATTAATTATAATGGCAGCTATAAAAATGTTATTATCCACATTAATAAACTATTAATTAGGTAGTAAATAAAAGTAAAAATAGCCGTGGCATTAAACAACTGCGTGAATGCAAAAGAGCATTTGTTTAACAAAGTAATAACAATAGTTTTCGTTTAAAAAAGTAGACCAAAGTAAATTCTTTCAGGTTCAGTGCAGGTATAACGTTCACGCAAAACCAGTATGTGTAAATAAGTTAAAAAAAAAAAAAATAAAAAATAGGCAATGCCATTTTTACGTGTTTGTAAACATTAACTTACATTGTACGCATGTTGTTTCGTTTATTCGTGCATAAAATGGTTTGCACGAACATCGGCCTTGTACGCATACAGATTCGCGTATATTCTGCTGACATTCCCAGTCGTTATTGCATTCTTCGGCTACAACTTGAGAAGAGCCGCTGATTAGCCAGAAATTTATCTGTAAACAAAAAACGAATGCACCACAATGCAGACACGTTTTGCTATTCAACTGTAAAACGCAAGGCTTTTGTTAGTTCATTGTTGAAAGATTGTTAAATGTTTTTTCAACTGATTTGGTGCCATTTTTGGTACCAGCATTGAAACGTAAAATCCGAACGTAGTAAAACAACAGTGTGTTAAATGAAAAAGCTTGGCAATTAATTATAGATATTTAGCTGATTGTGTGTAAAAATATACTAATAATAACAAGTTCTTCCCCCCTATTCAATTTATTTAATCACTTTCCTTGTGTTAAAAATTAAATTCAAAGGAATTGTTTGTAAATATGTATGCAACACATTATACACTTCAGCATAAGAAATTGCTGATACTAACTACGAAATACTACTTTGTCCTGTGCTGACAGCACTCCTTATTTCTTTTATATATAATATTAGAATACAATAAAAAGAAACTGAGAAGAACTGATTCTGAACTTTATCTGTTAATAGAAAACAAATGAACCACTATAGATACAGATACGTTTTGCTTTTCAACAGTAAAACGTAAGGCATTTGTTAATTCATTGTTGAAGTATTATCAAATGTTTTTTTCAAGTGTATTTGGTGCCATTTTTGGTACCAATTGATGCGTAACACGTGCAAATAATAAAAAAAGTGTGCTAAATTAAAAACATGGTAGATGATTAATGGAGAACGGAATATATAACTAAAAAAGAAATACAACGATTAGATAATCTGCAAAATATTGAAGCTAATGTTTGTTTCATTTTTATTTTTATTAATGATCTCTAAGATTCTTCCGAAAGAAAATGCGTTACCATCACTTCTACGAGTTGTAGGTACCTCCGCGTGTCGAATAAATCAAACCGAGAAGAAAATTCTCATGAAAAACCTGATCGAAACTTGAAGCGTCATCACTGAAATCAAATCCGATTTCGTTTAATTATCTGTAACACGGGTACCGTTTCCGTGAACTGTTGTTGTAAAAGACCCATTGACAAAACGTAATATGCGTTAAAATTCCTTAAAACTGCGCAATATTCTTGTAAATGTGACAATAATAATTCCCGGACAGCCGTAAAATTTTCTTTTACACCCGGTGTTAAAAGCACCGTCGGGCATGCATTCCTACATTAAAAATTAGAACGGTTCTATTAAATTTAGATTAGTAATAAAACCATATTACTCTATCAATTGCAATTGTAATGGAAACCGTTAATTTCCTGAACAAAGTGTACCACTGGTCCGCAATATTTATTCACAATCACAATTCTTTATACAGGGCAGTGCATTTATTCTTGTCTAAATTAATATTATCACTACATAGTATAAAACAAAGTCGCTTTCCCGCTGTCTGTCCCTATGTATGCTTACATCTTTAAAACTAGGCAACGGATTTGGATGCGGTTTTTTTTTAAGATAGAGTGATTCAAGAGGAAGGTTTATATGTATAATACATGCATAATATATAGTAGGGAAACACTGATAATTTTAGAGGTTTCTAACGTGATGTCGTAAATAAACACATTTTTTGCGCTTACATTGCAAACGCTGGCTGAATACTACGAGATAGATCAAAATAATGTACTACAATATTGTACATCTTAAGAGGGTCTACAAAAAAGTCTGGGATGGTATATGTCTATCTCTTAGGGATAACCCACAATAACCATTTTTATCCTTTACTTTTTATGAGAAATAATAACTTATTTACGGCTTCGTAAGTAGGCAATACAGCATTAATTCTTATCCAATTAACTATCGTAAATACATTGTGCATTTAATATAGATCGATACATCATGTAATTTAAATGAATATTTTCGAAGATATTACAGACTTAAAATGCAGGGACATAGCGGTTGCGGCGGTACCGGCCGGTTTGTATTGTCTAACGACAAAAAAACTGTGAATGTTGTATATAAAGACATTCTGTAGTATATTTAGTATGTTCAGGGGGTATCTTTCCCCTTCTCGATAATATCTAATCTAAACAAAAAAAATATATACATATTTAGTATCAGCATTGCACCCGTGCGAAGCTGGGGCGGGTCGCTAGTGTATTAATAATTTTAATATTTATCGGAACATAAACGAACTATTATACATAAAAAGTACCTACATACATACTTATTGTAAAGAAGAATCGCATTTTTTACTATCAACAGAATTTATTTTTTTAAAATTCCCATAGTGAGTAGCGCACCATAAAGGAATTTCAAACAAAAAGAATAATTATCATCATCATTAAAAGTCTTCAGGTATAAGACACGCACCTCTACTTGCTGCTATTGTGAGTCACTTTTATCGAAAATTGGAGCAGCCTAAATATATATCGAACAGTAATCTAATCTAGATCTACTACTGCCCCTCTTAACTCCTGTTATTGCTTCTAACACGTCTCTCACTAACGTTAAAGATAAAAATACATAGTTTGTTTTAATAATGCTATAATTAACGTTTTAAGTAAAGGTTTAAGTATAATCGTTTGATGTTTATCGTTAGTTTTTAAAGTGTGTTAGTTTACGGTAGGCTATTAATGAGAATAAATTAATAAACGTGTCTTAATGGCTAATAGTAAACGGTATTCGCATTTTTTAAGCTCGTGGGTGCTATACGCCGTACAGTGAGTGTAAAACAAGGCAAGTGTGTTACGTAAAATAACGCATCTTTCCGTTAATGTTACCGGCCTTAAGTGGAAGCGGTTATTAATTGTCGCGATTTTCCGAGCTCTGACCCTGTTTAAAATTAAGTAATATTAAACTGATCGAAACGGAGTTTCAGCAAAGTAGAAACAAAACAAAAGAGATATACCCACCCGTAGCCATCTTTACTTTACCTATTTCTGATTTTCGTTCTTTTGTTTTTAATTGTTTAATATATGTATACACACTCGTTAGTTTCAATTTGATAAGGACCACCGCAAAAAGTTATAAATGAGTTTAAGTTACAATTTCTACTATTATAATAATCCGCAGTATATATTATTTACTTTGCCGGAAGAAAGGAAATGACGTCAATCGTCAAATGAAGACTTGTTAATAGTTTCTTTATTGGTAGCTGTGTACATTCTTAATACACCATTAACTCGCTATTTCTATAGCAAAAAAAAAAACTACAGGAAAAGCAACAGTAATATTTTGAAAGAAAATAAAAGTATATCGGAATAATTTCAATTAAGTTAAGATGTATCATCAGAATCTCAATGTTGTGCGCGATTCTAATACAGCGAAAAAGGATAAATCAACTATTTTCTTGGTAATTTTGTCCTTTTATTTTACGCGGTAATGATAAATGAAGGGCTAAAAACATAAGATGCTATAGCAATTTTGAAGTAACATTGAAAATCATCAATGATGGATGTGATCTTATTAGTTCCCTGATCACGTCGAGAATCATCAGCGTCTCAAAAGTGTGATAACTCTGGTCTCAGTTTTCTGAATCACGTTGAGAATCATTAGAATCACAAAAAGGTGTGATATCTCTGGTCTTAGTTTCTTGAATCACAGTGAGAATCATCAGCGACGCAAGAAGTGTGATAGCTGTGGTCTAATTATAGGGTTGTTCGGAAAGTCATTTCGTTTTTTTTTGTGGAAATGAAAGACAGTTTTCGTATAATAAACAAATACTTTATTAAATTATATATTGACCGTTCTGGTCCAACACCTTTTGCCATCTTTCTGGTAGTAGCATAATTCCACGCTCATAAAATTTTTGGTCTTTGCTGGCAAAAAACTGATCGAGGAGGTTTTTGACCTCCTCATTTGAGGTGAAGGTTTTACCGTCTAAAAAATTTTGGAGTGACCGGAACAAATAATAATCCGATGGTGCCAGGTCTGGAGAATATGGTGGGTGTAGCATTGTATCCCATTCAAGCTGTAAAAGCTTTTGGCGAGTGACCAAACTTGTGTGAGGTCTCGCGTTGTCTTGGTGAAACACTACACCTTTCCTGTTGATTAGTTCTGACCTTTTCTGTTGAAGTGCATCATTCAGTTTGTCCAGCTGATGACAGTAGACTTCCGAATTAATCGTTGTGTTATCCGGTAAAAGCTCAAAAAAAACGATTCCTTTAAAATCCCACCAAACAGACAGCATCACCTTTTTTTGGTGAATATCGGCTTTGGAAATGGTTTGAGCCGGTTCATCTTTTTTGCTCCATGACCTCTTGCGTTTGACGTTGTTGTATACAACCCATTTTTAGTTTCTTGAATCACGGTAAGATTCATCAACGACGCAACAAGTGTGATAGCTGTAGTCTAATTAGTTTCTTGATTCATGTCGAGAATCATCAGCGTCACAAAAAGTGTCATACCCCAGGTCTTAGTTTTTTAGATTACGTTGATAATCATTAGCATCACAAAAACTGCAATGTCTCTGGTCTTAGTTTCCTGAATAACGTTGAGAATCATCAGCGACGCAAAAAAAAGACCGTTCAAACTTGTACAGAAGATTAATTTAGTAGGAATAGGTGCAGTAATTTTTCGTTAATCTATCTTAAAACACTTCCGCTAAAGAGAAGCGTCTAAACGCATCAAAGAAACCTATTCTTTCGGCGTCGTTTTGAAAGTTAGTTATTAAAAATGAAAAGGGGAAACCATAAGAAATTGTTTTGTAATTCCACATATGTGTACATCATTATTAATTGTCATTATTAGAAAATATAATGCGTAATACGAACGTATCGCGTGCAGAACAGATATGAGCTTTTACAGGTAAGATAATGGTAAGATACATATATCACAAGGAAGTATAATTCTTAATTTGACTAACTGTTTTTTCTGCATTCTTTACTCACGGCATGTGTACCTTCATACATGTATTATTACTATCCTTAACAATGCTTTGTCCGTTGCTTTCTTCCTACCATCTTAGCAAGTATTAGATTTACTGCTGCCTATGTGAATCATTTTGTTAAATAATTACTAGGCTTCTAAACAATCGTTATTAAATCACATGAGTCTGCAACTAATTATTTCGAAATATAGGCTAACAACTTAAATAAGTTTCTATTTTATTCGGTCATCATGCAGTAGTATTTTAAAATAAATAAAAAAAGCCGTTTCATTAATATTTCTTTTACTTATTACCCATGGTGCATATGTTTCTTATTCTTTGTCGGAATTGAACTAATATTCTATAATTGGTAACAGCCTGTTGAATGTTGTTATAGTCACAATTACTATACTATTATATTATTATCTCCCTGTGCTGTAGCTGCCCTACTTGATTGCTCTTTTTTTATTATGTGTATGTACTTTTTTTCATACAAGACTGTTTACTAACTGCGATACGATACAGTACACGGTTCAATTAATTGAATAACTGAACCAGCAGCTCCAGTGACGATCTCAATTTTTTTTTAGTTGATCATAAAACAACTCACGATGTCTCGAAAATTGAATTGATAAAAGTGTACCTACTTAGAAAAAATCTGATAAAATCTATATCGTGCGAATCTAAATAGAATTTTTAATTAAAAACCACTACATACAAATTAGGATGTTTTGAAAAAACAATTCCTTGTATTTGCTCTGTTGGCCGAAATTATGATGGCGTTCGTGGAGTTTCTCTACCCGCGGATGATGGTAGCGGTATCGTGAAGTGTCTTTGAAGATCATGTATGCATTGACCTCTAGGAACGAGTTCCATTTTAGGAGAAGACGTCGCGGCAAAAACTTGTGATTGATCTTGACACTATTGATGACAAGTCGAAATGTTTAACTTGACCCTCGTTTGCCGATATGATCGTGACGTGGCGTGATCATTTTTTGTAATACATACATATTTTAATACCAAAAGCCTGATCCTCAGCAAATCACATTCTTTCTTCCCAGTAATAAACAAATACCTACCTACCTAATAAAAAATATCAATCTCTAAAGTAGATTTTCAGTAAAATGTCAATGTTCAAATAAGAACTTGCCTATGTGTTCGCGGGGATTTTTTTGAAATTTTTAAACTCCTACTGTTTTAAAATAATTTCCCCAGTCTTGCTGAACCAAGATTTTGACTAAAAGTACAAATTGACCATGTTTATTCTTGATCCATAAAGAAATATATCTTATAATCTGCAGGCAAATCTCGGACTGTTTAAATAATTAAAGATTTTCAAAAAATTTCCGAAACATACAAGCAAGTGATACTTCGTTTTGAAGTTGAATTGTTGATTTGTGATTTGGCCTTAATTTTTTTATGAATAAAGACAGTCCAAAAATTTTATGCATAGGGCTGCGAATGTCCAAAATCCGCCGCAGGGTTTCAGCCAATTTTAATTTGTAGCGTGGTAGGGTGTCGTAAGGTGAGGTGCGTTTCAAGGAAAATTTGTTTTTGGGAAATTAAACGAAATGATTCATAAATTCGGTTCTTCTTAATCCAACGTTCCGCAAAATTTCACTGTTTAGTGGTCCAAACCAATTTTGATATGTAAGATGTAACAGCGCAACAGGGTGTCGTAAGGTGGCATATGGTTTATTAACGGAAATGTTTTTGCGAAGTTGAAGGAAATGATTCATAATTTCGTCTCCTTTTTAACCAATTTTCAACATTGTACAAGCAAAATTTCGCTCTTTATACTTGCTTTAAAACAATTTAAATTTGTTTAATACAAAGGCGCGGCAGGGTGTCGTTAGGTGATATGAGCTTTGAGGAAAATGTCTTTTTGCGAATCAAGGGACACGATTCATAACGTCGGTTCCTTTTTAACCAATTTTCAAATTTGGACACGCAAAATTTCACTTTTTTACACTAATTGAAATCAATTTTAATTTGTAAAAAATAAAAGCCTAGCAGGGTGTCGTAAGGTGACGAAAATGAGCTTTTGGATAAACGAAGAAAATGATTCGTAATTTTCGCTTCTTTTTAACTAATTTTCTAATTTAGACGCCCGGAATTTCGCTTTTGACAGTGGTTCAAGCCCATGTAAATAAATAATGGTATTAAATAGTTATATATTCGAATATTCTTCTTGCTTCGTAAAAATCTTCAAATGTACTCTACTCTCTGCCGTCGTTTTTTTTATTACAGTGCGGCATCTACAGGAAAATGTAATAAACATTTACAGTTAGTACAGTAACACTTGTAATAGTTTATTCAATTTAAAACCTTTTACAAATTTCTCATTGTATTTCTTTAATCTTATCGTAAATTGCCTTTAATTATTACAGTCGTTTTCAACCAATAAAAACAGCAATAAAATTGAACCAAGAACAAGAACATTACACGGGTTTGTTTTGTAAAGAACCTGTAGGAAAATACTTTTAGTAGTACAGTGCGTGCATGGCATTTACACACGAGATATCTACTAATGTAGAATGTATTCGTGCATTTACAAGCACCTACCTAAAACAAAAAATTCATGAAGCGCTACGTACAATGCATACATATGTATGTAAATCGTAAACTACAGAGTATTTTATTGTTATTACAACCGTGAATAGTTTAGCGATTTGGCGGTAATGGAGTGCATTCTTAGAATTTAATGTTTGCGGATAATTTCAATTGCCATTATGTTCAAACTAATTCTAAGAACTCCGATAATAACGAACTTTTAAAGAATTATCTTCTATAAATACACCCAACAGGTATGTTTCTGAATCATCTTATACACTAATTTTACTTTGATTTATAAACCGTTCACTTTTTCCGAAATTTTCCATCGCCTAGTGGAAATTGAGCAAATTAAGGAATTTTATGGATAATACAACAAAATTTGTCAGCATTTCTTAAAATGGTACCAGAAAAAAGGAATAGAGAACTGTTCGATTTATCATTTCGATATCGACGATTTTTACTGCAGATAATTCCGCTTTTTGATAGAGTTATGCCCAAAATATATATAATTTATAAAAGTTTGTATTTTTTTTTCAAAATCTATTACATTCGGTCATCACTGCCCTAACAAAAACCTCGAACATAGTCTTTGATAATACGGTGGAATTAGTTCATTAAGACTCCGCCTATATTGACCAACCGCTTAATATGAAGTAATTGCAGTGTTAACTTTGGGTTTCATATTATATTCTCTATAGGAAAATTTGGATATAATGACTCCGTTTAAAATGAAATATCATTTATTATGACTTATTCTCAAGAAATCATATCCGACTATAGTGGCCCAAATGTTTAATAATAACATTTTCGCTCATTTTTCTGACCCTTCTTATGTATATTGACATTACAATTCATCGTTCTTTTTCTGTTAATAAATATGTATCTACAATTTGTAGTTTTTCTCTCTATTAAACTAAATAACTAATCAAAATAGAAAATTGTATATTATCTAATACTATGCTTTGTATGACGCCCTCTAAGTATAACATGTTTGTAACTTCCCTTCAATGCGGATTCTACTATACTAGTATTAACCTAATCTAGCACCTTCCTCTCTATAGTACTGATTTGCTATCAAGCGTGGCAATATTGAAATACAAACGCATTTAATAAATATAAATGTATTTAAAAAGGAAATATACATCACACATGAGAATATATATATATATATATTTTTCCCCTTGTGTCGTAACGGAAACGGTACCGATCATTCTGTATCATTAACTAATCGTAAGATGATTTCATGTCGGTAATGTTTCTCTTAATGATCAACTAATGGATGTAATCCCGGCATTCGATCGAAGGTACCCACTCGGTGTAAACAAGTTTATAATTTCCTGCTGGCTCTTTTACTTAAATTACAAAAAGTAACGAAACATTTAAAGTCGAACGCGTAACCGCTAGTAATATAAAATAATAAATTCTCTGCACTCTTTGCTTAATGGTCCTTGAAATGAGCGAATTACTGAATTAAAATAGCAATTAGCAGCGCAAGAATCAATTTCATTCAACGATCAGAAAACACTTAAAAATTATCTGGCCAAGTTTAAACTGCGGCAATATCAATAAATGTTCACCGTATTGATCTGGCCCATAATCGAATTTTAGCTTAAATCGCGCACAAAATACTCTATATCATACCGCAAAAAGTATTTTAAAAGTTTTTGAAATAATTTATTGTCTGTTATACCACTGTTACTTTTAGAGCCCAAAATTTTTATTATATTTAGTAATAATATTTAAAGGTACTACTTACTAGGATCAAAGGGAACAATGCACCCTTAGTTTTCCACATTTTCGCTAAAAAGTAACAAAAAAATCACTCGCGAAAATATTTTTCTCTTTTTTCACTTTAATAATTTCATATGTCCAAATGCGATCGATACCATCAATAAAACAAAATCACGACGTCGCACAACTGTTTTGATTTCAAAAGTGTCGCGATTCTTTCTTTCGGACAAAAATTCAGCGCCTATAATATATGTATATATATATGTGTGGTCAGTCGGATAGTCCGCTATTTTGAATCGAGTTCTCTGTGCCTTCGAACTCGCGAAGACGATGAATGAAAAAGACTTCTTCAGTGCCAAGTTGCGAGGCACGACAGAGGGGCGGTAACACGGGATGAGACAGTGGAATGGGCCCCCTAATATCGGATGCGGTGGAGGTTTAGGCGACTACGCGACTCGCATAATAATTATTGCTCTTCAATCTCTCCCCAACATGTCGATTGGTCGATAGGGTCGAACAACGACCGTATATGAACATGTACATGTTTGTCTGTGCAAGTGTGTTTGTCATCGACGCACACAGCACAAATTTACCCCCAAAATGCAATCAACACCTTCACAATCATGAGTCATTACCAAAACAATTTTAAAGTAGTTAAAGGGAACCCTAAAGCAAAAAAAACCCTCCAGCTTCATCATGAAAAAGCGCTGCATAATTCGTCAATTTAATTGTTCGTTATGTTAATTAGGTACAATATAATCTTATACATTATCAAATTTACGATGTAAAGAGTGTAAGCTCAAGTAATATGCAAATTGTTTGAAACGGACGATACAGCCTGGGAATATCGATACCTCCTATTTTGTCTTGTGTAAAACGTAGCTATCAGATAAAAGTAATATGTTAACCAAATGAAGTGCTGTAACGGTTAAATGTACTCGAAATGAATGTGTACGTAAACTGCAATGGTACCCACACTTGATTTCGAAGAAACGATTAAATATGGAGAGACTTGCGAGAAATCGATTAAAAGTTGGCGACAAAATGAAATTTTATATATTATTTTGTTATTTTAATCGCTGCAACTCTGTTATAAAAGTATGTTCACCGTTAAGTAGTTAAATTAAAATAAAATGGTAAAGCTCAAACATGGCGCTCCCGAAAATGGCAACCGTTCTGAAATATACAAAAATTGCTGTTGTTTATTTCACAGTTTGTTGCGCACTTTAAAGTTTTATTTCACGCGCCTACTTGAATATACAATTAAAAAGGTAATTAAACTGTTTTATGTTATTTAGTTAATAATGGGCGATGCCCAGATAATTGTGTAATGAACAACTTCCCATCATTAAGAGCGTATGTTTTGACTCCTCCATGTATTTTAAATGGTAATCTCAGTTGAAACAACATCATTATGAGACGACTCTCAACTGAAATTAGTTTCTAATTGCAATCCTTCCGCTGCCTGGAGGTGATATGTCGTGAAATCATTGAAACAATAATTATATCTCCAGGTGGACTTGTTCGCAAAATCTTCGACTATTTTTACACATTTCTACTTGAAACGTATACCTTCTCGTGTTTCTACCTATGGCTATTTATCACGTTGAAGAAGTCGAAGACCGCGTGCTCAGAATTTTAAATATTGTTCATTATTCTGACCGGATATAAGTACAACCAGATTGCAAAGTGAATAACATTAAAATAATAAAAAAAGATTAGAAGAATCAGCAGTATATCTGGTAGACAATTGGAAATTTAATTTCAATGAGTTTATTCTTAATACTTATTTATATATACACATGATTATGTAACACCTAATTTCGGATTTTTTCTTGTCAAAGAGATTTGCTGCTGTTTCAAAAATTAAAATTAATACGGCCCTGACTATTGCTCGCGAAAATAACATATTTCGGTTTTAAGGTTAGGTGTTTCATTCTATCTTTGTATGTAGTTTTGTATTTTGTATATAATTAAAGCAATAAAAACCGTAAGATAGCCCCAAAGAAAAACTTATTTTAGGTGCTGGGTGCCGATTTTTATAAGAAATGACTTCTTTTATAAGATCTCGCGTTGTTGTTCCTTGTAAGTTCTTGTTTGAAGTGGCCTAATTTTGAGGTTAACATGTGTTCCTAATTTTTTAGCACTTAGAACTGCTCTAAAACAGATTCTATTTGGATGTGAACTTTCTAGAACACAGAATCACAATAAAATTATTCAATACATTGTTTCAAACAATAGTTGTAGTAGATTTTATTCAACAGAAAAAAAGGTTTTTCAAAGAGACAAGCCTCATTGTAATGTGGGGACCATTGGTCATGTGGATCATGGAAAAACAACATTGACTGCTGCTATAACTAAGATACTTGCTGATAAAAAACTTGCTGAAATGAAAGAATATAAAGATATAGACAATGCACCAGAGGAAAGAGCCAGAGGTGAGACAATTAAACTTTGGTAGCATTTGAAGCTAAAATTTACATTGTGTCTTGTAGGTATCACAATTAATGTTGCACATATTGAATACCAAACAGATAACAGACATTATGGTCATACTGATTGTCCTGGACATGCTGATTATATAAAAAATATGATAACTGGTACTTCTCAAATGGATGGGGCAATTCTTGTTGTTGCGGCAACTGATGGTGTAATGCCCCAGACAAGGGAACATTTGCTTTTAGCTAAACAAATTGGTGTTAAGCATATAGTTGTTTTCATCAACAAAGTGGATGCAGCAGATGCTGAAATGGTAGATTTAGTTGAAATGGAAATTAGAGAACTAATGACTGAAATGGGTTTTGAAGGTGATAAGGTACCAGTTATTCATGGGTCTGCATTGTCAGCACTTGAAGGCAAAAATGAAGAAATTGGTACAATTGATACAATACCAGCAGTATTTTCTAATTTTTAATAATACTTTTTATAATAATTAATTAGGTTCTAAAGCAGTACTGAAGCTATTAGATGCAGTGGACAGCTACATTCCTACCCCTGTCAGAGAGCTGGATAAACCATTCTTGCTTCCAGTGGAACATGCTTATTCCATTCCTGGAAGGGGCACAGTAGTAACAGGCCGTTTAGAAAGGGGAATCATTAAAAAAGGAGATGACTGTGAATTTGTGGGTTTCAGTAAAGTTTTCAAGAGTACTATCACTGGAATCGAAATGTTCCACCAAATTTTAGAAGAGGCACAAGCTGGAGATCAACTGGGAGCCCTAGTAAGAGGTGTCAAACGTGCCGATGTTAAAAGGGGTAAAAATAACAAAAAGCTATTATTACATTCCTAATCCAGCTTCTGTTATATTTTATAGGAATGGTACTGTGTAAACCAGGCACTGTAAAGGCCTATGACCACTTTGAAGCCCAGGTATACATTTTAAACAAAGATGAAGGGGGCCGTGCGAAGCCTTTCACGTCCTTCATCCAACTTCAGCTCTTCTGTAGGACTTGGGATTGCTCAGTTCAAGTTACTGTACCTGATAAGGAGATGGTTATGCCAGGAGAAGATGCAAGGTAACAAATTCAGTTAGTCAAGTGGTGCATTCCAATAACAAAGTTAATTTTTAATTTTTCTTATAGGCTTATTCTGAAAATGTTCAGACCAATGGTTCTTGAAGAGGGTAAGAGATTTACCCTTAGGGATGGATCGTTAACATTAGGAACAGGCGTGGTATCCAAAATTTTACCTGCTCTTAAACCTGATGAAAAATTAGCACTCAGTGAAGGCAAAAAGGCAAGAGAAAAGAAAGCTGCCCAAGCAAAACAGGGCTAGATGTTGTAGTTTTGATTTTTGTATGTTGAAAAGGAATTAATTATGAACATTTTGTAATTAATCCCAGTGAATCATTTTTGTTGATTTATTTATAAATTTTCTTTTTCTAATTGTAACTTGTATGATTTTTATTATAGAATATATTAAAAAGTAATTTAAAAATAAACAAAATGTATTCTTTTATTTACAATAATTATGGTTCCCTTAAAATCATAATAATGTTTATATTAATACACAATAAAATTAATTAAAATGAAATAATTGATAAATAAATGAACATTATGAGGAAGTGTGTTGGCTGGGTGTCAGTCCACCACTATGTTCTGGACTGTGCTTCTGTTTCTTTCGTTTTTTCTCCTTTTTTCTCTTCTTCCTTTCCTTATCCTCATCGTGACGTTTCTGCTTTTTATGCTTCTTCTCATGAGTATCCTGTCCTATTTCAGTTATATGTGTTTCTTGACTAGGTATTCCACCTTCCTTGTGTTTATGCTTTTTATGTTTATTTTTATGTTTCTTGATGGGAGTTTGGTTTATGTATCTGTACTGTTCAGGTAACTAAAAATATAAAATAATTAAGATACATATGCTTCAGCTTATTTTCATTTACCAACTATGGTTTCTTTTTTAAAATAATGATATAGAATATACTTACAGGACCAGGGTGCAATCTAAATCCTTCTAATTGAGAACTTGTTAATGGTAACAATTCCTTGCCCCCAATTGGAGGCTTTTCAATCACAGACCTTAATGAACTATTATCTTGAGCACCAGGGGCATCTATAACTCCTGGTAGGGTTGGGAGGAATGAAGAAAGAGATTCTTTCAATTTCTTTCCACTGAACTTACTGTAAGAATGCTCGAGGCCATAGTAGGCCATCAAGTTCATAGCCCCAGTCAGTTCAGATTCTCCTACAAAAGATGAAAATGATTTTCAAAGTCCATGTTACATAGAATAAAGGTTACCTGGTGGCTCCTTCATTAAGTAAAAGGGCCCACTAGGAGGGACAATGGAAGGATTCGGCCCTAGTATAATGGTGGTTTTTAACGTTCCTGATGAATCTTGACGAGGGACCACAGGGGATCGAGCCCCTCTGGGTGAAGATTTTGGCGAGTATTGTTCTACTTTACGAAACTGATCACCCATCATCTTACAACTTCATCCTTCGCCACTGGCAGTGGCTTCTAAATATTGTTTTCGATTGTGGAATTCTTCTTTTGAGTGGAAAACGTTAGTAAAATTATACGTGTATGTTTGATGTTGTGGTAATGTGAAATTTAGTTACATTGATAAAAGCGCAAGCGCTGAATTCAAACGTAGGGAAACGTAAAATATTTTTGAAATCAAAATTGTAATTTTTACAAAAGTGCATAAGAAAAGTTACATCATCAGTAATTATGGTTTTACTATTTTATATTTTTATTAACGTTATTTAATCATTTTCAATCATTTTATTGTAACGATTGACGTTTAACCATAACCTTAAAGATTGTAATCATAAATATAATAACATCACGTAACAGTCGCACAGATTTGTAATAGTGAATAGGTAAGACTACAGTGAAACCATTCATAGAAAAAGTTATTTTAAATCCTTCATCTATTTATTTTTGCAAGATTAGAATTAACAAGTAAGTGAATTACGTATACTATTAATATCTGCAGAAATATTTTAAAGTCGAGCTATTTATCAAGTTAGTTAATTTGTTTACATTCTTATGATAAGTTTTATGCTGGTTGACTCATCGTCTACGCCTGATATTTCAAGCTTTTATAAGAGTTTTCAGTATTGCTAGGGATACTATCATCTTTGCACATCACATTAATAAGCATCTTGTACCATAGCACTAGTTCTCAGACATAAATTAAAAATACATTATTAATTTAAATAACAGTGTTTTAAAATTCGTTCCAGTTTTTATTGCAAATAGTTCGGCTAATTGAGTAAGGTTTGTAGTTTTAAACATATTGATTCACTTATTATAAATTATACAATGTATTTTAATTTAGTTGAAACTACACCAAGATGTCTATATATCCAAGTTTGGAAGATATGAAGGTTGATCAACTTCATAAAGCACAAAATAAGTTTGAGTCACTTCAAAATTCAGCCCCTCAAGCCTCTGCTGCTCCTTACCCAACTAGTGGGATTAATATGCCTACACCTATTTTGGATAGAGGAGTTTACCCAGAATTAGGAAATTATATGGGATTAGAGTTAACAGAAGCAATAATTGCTGAAAATATGCCAGAGTATTCTCTTACATTATTGCAACAAACTGTAAGTATATTTCTCAATTTGTTTTTTCACAGAATGTTTATTGGAGTATTCAGTTTATTATTATTGTTCCGCTTGGGGCATTTTTATAGAGATAAAAGGTACATCAAAAATTTATTTCATAAACAGTCATTGTTATATTGTTTGAAGTTTATGATAAGACCTGTAATAGATAGACAGTTTCATTCATATTGTAATTAAGTATTATATTATTACCTTTTATAAGTAGAATAATGTTTCTAATTGCAAAGCTTTGAAGCAATCTTTTATACAATTTTAGACCCAAGTGGTTCCAGCAGAAAACAAAATAGGAAACTTGGTGGCACCTTTATCAGCACAGTCTTTGGGTTTACAAAGAGCCCAAGTTACACATGGAATTCGAGAGGTAAAGGCTTACTTTAATTTGAACTACTTTCTTTTCTTTTATTAAGAGCAAAATGTTTTTATAACAAAAAATAAGGCCACACATGTATTATAAGACAACTCAATAGTTCACTGGTTTTGTTATGTAAACATTTAAAAGAGGAAGTTATCAATAACTCTAGATAACTGATTTAGTACTAGCACACAAATACATATGTACATTTATTTTATATTAGGTAAGTGACGTGATCTAGTTGTGTGCCTTGGTTCACGTTTTTCTGTGATTTCCTTGGACTGATTAGGCAAATATTGAGGCAATAACATTCCCCAGATAATCTTTCAGTTCTATTCTGTCTTCATTTCTTACATCTCATCTGTCTTTCTCCAACCTCCGTCCACCCATTCCGCGATTCCTAACAGGGCCTTCCGACCTATTTTTCGGCTCCGTCCACTATCACATTCAAATTGCAATAGTTTTAAATGTAGTTAAAATTTTATTTTTTCTCTAGCTAACATTATGTAAAGGGGCTGATGGAAAGATAGGACTCCGCGTGACACCAATTAATAACGGAATATTCGTTTGCTTGGTAGTTGCCAAGTCTCCAGCAGCTTTAGCGGGGCTTCGCTTTGGTGATCAAATTTTGCAAATAAACGGCAAAAATCTTGCTGGATTTACCATGGATCAGGTCCACGATTTACTTAAGAAAAGTCCTGTTAACGGAATTTCTATTGTGGTTCGCGATAGGCCTTTTGAAAGAACTCTAACACTGCACAAAGACAGTACAGGCCATATTGGTTTTCTTTTCAAAAATGGGAAAATCGTTAGTATTGTTCAGGACTCCTCTGCAGCAAGAAATGGTGTTCTGACTGATCACCATTTGTTGGAAGTAGAAGGGCAGAATGTTGTCGGGATGAAAGACAAAAATATCACTAAAATTATCGAAGAAGCAGGAAACATTGTGACTGTAACAGTTGTGCCAAGTTTTATTTACGAACATATGACTAAAAAGTAAGTAGTTTTGTAAGTTTTAATTTAAGAAGAAATAATTACATATTGATTTTTGCTTCAGGATGGCGTCATCTCTTCTTAAGGGCCATATGGATCATTCAATCCCAACTATTTAAATATCTCCCTATCAATCCCATAATTATTATATACCTATACACACATATATATATTTTTTTATTACGTCGTTTTGTTCGTTTTTGAAAAGTTTTCTTTTATATCAAATACTTTTTTTAACAGTATATCTTCACACGAATTTATCTTACAGGTACTGTAAGTATTTTAATTTACAACAAAGACTGACGATAACAATCGAATAATTCCAATGCTGGTGATAATAATAGAGAGAAAAGTAATCGCACTTAATTTTCTAAACGTTTAAACTGTGATTTTTTACTAATAATAACTTGTAATATCTTTTCAAATACGACCAACGCATTCATCTTTAGTGATATGTTATTCACCATCAGTTGTTTATTTAAACTAGTCGTTAAAGTGCCGAAGGAAAAAAAATATTTTTTTAAGTTTAAAATGTTTTAGTTTTACAATATATATAAACCATGCCATTTAATCATTTTCAATCATTTTATTGTAACGATTGACGTTTAACCATAACCTTAAAGATTGTAATCATAAATATAATAACATCACGTAACAGTCGCACAGATTTGTAATAGTGAATAGGTAAGACTACAGTGAAACCATTCATAGAAAAAGTTATTTTAAATCCTTCATCTATTTATTTTTGCAAGATTAGAATTAACAAGTAAGTGAATTACGTATACTATTAATATCTGCAGAAATATTTTAAAGTCGAGCTATTTATCAAGTTAGTTAATTTGTTTACATTCTTATGATAAGTTTTATGCTGGTTGACTCATCGTCTACGCCTGATATTTCAAGCTTTTATAAGAGTTTTCAGTATTGCTANTAGAATTAATTATAATTAAAAGATAATATAACAAAATAAAAATTTATTGTCAACAAAAGTTCTCAATAAATTTCATCAAATAAATAACAATTTATTTATACACATTTAAAATAGCTACTGTTAGCTATGTTGTTCAGAAGCAGTTGCTGACAGTCTATGAGAGGGTAGTGAGGCCCGTCCATATCGTCTAGCAGCTTCTTTGAAAAACGCTCCTTCCATTTGTTTAACAACTTTATCAAAAAACATGTGTGCCAAATTTGAGTGAAATATTGATTTGAATTGGAAACAAACATGAAAATCAATTATGCAAGACTGAGGGTTACTTTTAAGACCAGGACTAAACTTCCAAGTTGTTTTTAGGTAATCAAATAGCTGAGCATCTCTGTTCATGGCTTTCACTAAATGGGGCTTTACAAGAGTTACATGTGAAGTGTAACTTTCAATTACAGGTGGAAAACCAATTTCTAATTTAGCTTTCATAAATTTGTCAGGATTGTGCTCAATAATGATAGATTTTCTACAGAAGGGTAAGAAATCCTTATAGTTTGCCACATCGGCTACAACTTCATACATCTGGTCACCTGAGAACCTATATAAGCCTAATTTATGGTCAACTTTGTGCAGCTAATGTAAATCTGACCTACCCTATAAGTTTCCTGTCCTTATATTCTTTTCTTTTGCTGTACAAATCGTAAAAATTTCTAACGAACACGGTCCATTGAATATTTTTTGACTGAGCTGTCCCTGGGGAACTAAAAATTAATATTACATAAATCAAGGTAATAAAATGAAGAAATTACATACATAACGCTTCGTAAGAACGGCTTAGGCTTGGACATACCTACATCTTCTTTATTTAACTCATTTTTGTTTTTTTTTTTTAATAATTTTGATCAAAATAAGTCTTATTTAGAGGTTAGATTAAAAATTTTGACTATTTTGACGTTTCCAAAGACCTTGAGGAGACATTTTCTTTCTCAGGTTATGACATAACACCGATATAACCTTTATTGTGGAAGTTTTATTTATATACTTTATTATTCGAATTAATCTAATAATAATTGAAATGGCCAGTCTTGCGAGGCTACAAAGAGGATTTTTACAAAAAGCTCGTTCAATTGTTAGTAACAGAGTCAGGTCAACTGTAGCTACGAAATGTGAAACTCCAGTTCAAGACTTGAGTGCATGTAAACCAGAGAAGCAATGGATATCCTACGGCTTCGAATATGAATCTGAAATTGGAGACAGATTGGCCCTTCATTGTACTATGTTTGCTTCTGTGACTTTATGTTTGGTTGTTGGTGGATATGTTTTCATGTATGCTCCAGATTATGCACTGAGAGATTGGGCACAACGAGAAGCATATTTAGAAATAAAACGCAGAGAAGAAGCAAACTTACCCCTTATAGATAAAGAGTTAATAAATCCTAAAAAAATACGTCTTCCTTCTGAAGAAGAAATTGGAAATATGGAAATAATCATTTAAATATTTAGTTCATAATTATGTAGTGATTGTTTGGACAAATTTGAAATTGTTTAATACTGTGAAAAAGGAAACAACAATAAAAACTAAGCCAAGCAGAGTGCTTTCTCTTTATTCAATGTATTTTAAATACATAAATATTAATTTCATGCTGTTTTTGATTATTGCTATTGGTAAACTTAGGCTATTAAAACACCATCATAATTAATATATGCATAAGTTTTGATCTTAAATACCTAAACGAAAAAGATTGAATGTATTTTGTTGTGAATTGTAATAAAATAAAGAATAAATTAAAGTATAGAGTACATATACTGAGTGTTTTATTACATATCCAATAAAAATATAAAATTGAAAATTGGCGTAATGTTGGTTGTCTAAGCACCACCATTCAGTGAAAAGACCCCATATTGAAAAAGTATCGTCCATATTCGTTTAGTGTCGGACAGCTTCGTATACGGGCGTTTCGTTTTTGTTGTTCTATTCATGTACCGTGCGGGAGTGTGTGTCATATATCTAGTACTTCCATTAAAAAATCGCGAATATATGGTGTTGTGTTAGTGTATTAAATCCTTATCACTCAACAAATTATCAGCAGTCTTATTTGGTAAGCTTTTGTACTAAAACAATTCTTTATTGCTTTAAATAATCCGAATTTTCTACATTTCCTTTGCCGGTCTTGTTTTCGATCATGGTAAACTTATTATAATAAAGAACTTTTCATTTTATACTGCGGGGATTAATAAACTTTTGAATGGGAAATTAATTTTTGTATTGTTTTGTACCTAAAACTGTTTGTATTGTAAGAAGCGTAAACATAAAAGAGGGTGAGCGAATATCAATTAACTGTTGTAACAAATCCATTGTTGTTTTTGTATTATTCGAAGTATGCCTTAAATTTATTATAATTGTGTGAGAAAGATAACGTTATCATTGTAAAGTGGATTGAGAAATTTATTATATGTCGTTTCTGATTCTAAAATAATTAAAATTTATATTTTTTGCGAATTTATGCGTGCCTACAACATTGTAATACACCCCCATCTCGAAATACTCAATATCGAGTGAGATCTCGCAGCTGCAGCAGCTGGAAAAGGTCCGGTCTTCGCTCAAATAGGTACCACCTGTCTTTCCAGCAGAGGTAGAAAATTGGTCCTTTTATTACTTGATATATAGGAACCTATAATGTATCGTGTGTAACACGATGATGCTACTCACTCGTCATGTGTATATCGATTTTAACCACATAGTACGAGCAACTGAATTTTCCCAACCGTTCAAAAATTGGACGTACACCCTTAGCATCTTTGTATTGATTGAAGCGCTTAAGAATGCGGGAGTCTACCTAAGAGAGGGATGTAATGGAGGGTAGAAGTTCTAATATAGAACGAACATTATTAATTTGTTTTATTAATCAGCACCCCTTGTTTGTATGAATCCAATTTTTTATACGTTAAGCATATAAATATACAGGGCGACTATTAAAACAAAACTATTTATTGTTTAACTAAAATTAAGCGAACTTAATTGCTGTAAATATTAGTACGTTCTTGTTGCGTTATTAGTTGTTTCAGTTTGCGGAAGTTTACCCATTGCGTTGCATTTTTTGTATCTAAATTAAATATAACAACAATATACAAGTTTCCACCATAACCCCAGGCTCGTTGACCTATTTTTTTTGTTGTCTGTGCATGTAAAAGGCTTATTAATTATTTTCTGAGAGATTCCTGTGTTTCGCATTTTGTCACCACGTCCAAACGTGCCATTTTTTTTCACAATGTACACCGTAAATAACGTTCTCTTAAATTAAAAAAAAAGTTCTGTACATTATATTTACTAACTAATTCATTTCTTTAATTGAACTGAACTGCTAGATTAAATGACATCATTTTTTAAAACTAGAGATCTACATAAGCGGAATCGTTTGAAAAAATTGTTCCTTGTTTTTATTTGCAATTTTACAAAACATTATAGGTAGCCCCTTGCTCGAAGTAAAACTCATTATTTTGTAGTAAATAGAAACTTATTGTTAGTGTTTAATTATTATTAACTAAACACACAGTTATTTAGAAAGGATGATGTTAAGTAATTTGTTATCATTCTCTATGATAATAGATTTCGTCAGTTTTTATCCTTTTTTGAAATTGTTTCGTATTACAATATATGACATCGGGTGCATACATATGTAAATATGTATGTAAAATATTCGACCTCGATTTAAACTACGTTTTACGCAACTTTATAATTATGTACCACACAAAAATATTTGTGAATATGTGTAAATTATAAATTTATCTACCTGATGAACCCGTTCAGTACCCGGTATCTTCTGGTTAGAAAAGGGATTGTCAATAAATACATTCGAAAAATTAAATTAATTTTCGCAAAGACTGGAAAACGATTACGAATTTTAAATATAAAATTTATAGATGAATTTAAATACTTCAACAAGATATTATAGGGTATCTTCCATTTTTTTAAATGAAATATCTATTTTTCAGTGGGTATTTTACAAATATTCTTCAGTAACTTGCAAATGCAAATTTTGAAATTTTTGCTTTCGAATAATTAGAAAAATCCTAACTCTTCGTATTCACCATCACCTAATTTATTTAGCCATTAATTTGTGTTTAAATCCTCTTGTTTTGTTGGGTACTCCATGCACCATTCATTATACTAAAACTACCCTCTGAAGATCAAACACGTTTGTACGTAAATATGACTTGTATTTGTGCGTATATAAAATAGGTCGAGTGTATTACCTCCTAAAGAATTGTCTGCTTTAAGACCTCTCGACCTTTACTGTATCCAATTTTTTTATTTCAGGTTATCAACCACCTGCTGTCGGTACTTCCCGCACTGCTGTGCCGAATAGTCATTTCGATTACGTGGTTTCGAGACCACACATCGAAGATGTCGTGTTCCCCAGGTCCTTCGTTAGTGTTTTTATTGACTTCCGTTGTGTTTTTCGCGAGTTGTGCGGAAAATGATAAAACGGCCGGACCCGTTTTCGTCGCTGAGCCCCCGAATCGTGTCGATTTTTCCAATACAACGGGCGCGTCGGTGGAGTGTAGTGCTCGAGGTAATCCACCCCCTGAAATCATCTGGGTAAGATCTGACGGAACCGCTGTAGGAGACGTTCCGGGGCTCCGTCAAGTCCTGGTCAATGGTAACCTGGTCTTTCCACCCTTTCGCGCTGAAGATTATCGTCAAGAAGTTCACGCTCAAGTCTACGCATGTTTGGCCAAGAATTCGATCGGAACCATCACATCAAGGGATGTCAACGTTAGAGCAGGTAGGAAGAGTAATAATATGTAGGAAAAATAATTGAATTTTCTAAAATTAATTAATTAATACGTATAAAAGTACGATAAACGTTCGTCTGTTTGAATTCTAAACTGTTATCTTTCAAAAAGTTTCACCATTGTTCGTTTATGGCACCATTAGTGGTGTTTTTGAAAGTCATCGCTGATGACGCTGAGTTTTATGGACCATCGGAACATTTCGGAAAGAAGTTTGCAATTTCGCTACTGAAACTGTGAAACTTAAAATCCGTTAATGAACATTGTTCTGCCAATTAGGTTTAGCCTTGACAATTATTGTTATACATATTATTTCAATAATAATTAATGAAACCGAAACGCTGGCTTCAATTAATAAATAATTGTTCTTCAAGGCAAATATTCGGAATGTGTATTGTCCTTTTGTTTTCAATGAATATATATTTTAATCTTTATAAAGCCAATTCATTTTTTACACGAATGCAAAAATTGATCTGAAATACATATATGCCGTATATCTATTGTATAAGATTGTTTCTTTCAACGTAAAATTTGCGACATATTTGCAGGAAATTTCACAAAAAGCTGTACGTACCTATCTATAATTATTTCTTTCGACTGCTGTAATGGTAGTTAAACGTTCCTATTTATCGGTAAAATAGCTCTAAACAGCTTGTTTAGCGTTTAATCGTTACTTAAACAAAGTTTTATTAGTAGTCGTAACAACCTGAAGAGGAAGCCATTCTTTTAATATTTACCGAAAGTGTCGGTTTAGGATAAAGGCAAATAGAACACCGTGTTCATGAAGTTATTATCACGTTTACACAAATATTGGGTTTGTTTAGCTTGCTAGGTGTTTTGTATGATTTTTCTTATGTAAATATCTGTAAAGATGCTTTATCACTCATCGTTTACCAGAATCTGTAAATAACGTTAGATATCCTACTGGGTAAATTTTTCATTGTTTTAATCATTAAAAATTTGAATGTGTGAAAAAAAAAATAGAATAAAATATCTGGTATTGATCTTGAAGAATATACAAACTCAAATTTCGTTTAACTTTTGGTATGATATGCAGTTCACTCTATTAAACTAGAATATATATTTATGCTGGATGTGGAAACCACTTTTTCGTATAGTTTTCGAAAAATTGAAATTTAGAAATAATTGAACTCAATTTAATCTAACGTAATTCAAACCTAACCTAAGGTTTTATTTATAATTACACATTGCTGTAAATAAAAGTATCTACACACATCGTGCAGCCTTTACCTACCTACTGTAAATTTATGATCTCAACCTAGCCGAACCTAATGCTTTTATTTGATTGGTTAGGATTACGATAGAAAAAGACAGCACTCACAAAGTGACTGTTTATAGCATAGCAAGGTGCGCCTTCAAAAAAATAAAACTCCGGTTAGGTTGGGATTGGATTGGGTTAAGTTTGGTTCAACTGACTCGATGCTCAGAGATCTCGAGAACTGTACCAAATACCATTTTCAGTATTCTAATACGTCTAAATTTAGTTGTTTAATTCCTATTTTGTGCTTTGTAAATGCGAAAATAAATTAGAAGCCTTGTAAGTCTTGTAGGTAAATCTTTATTTCAAATCAAGACAGCTTGTTGCTTCGACAGCGGAAAAGGAAGTGGCCATACGTTATTTGCTTGGATTATAATTAACAGTAACGACGATTCGTTGCCTTTAAACGGCACCTATAAGATTTATAAAGCTACAGATTGTAAATTTGATATTCCGAATACAACACTGCCGTAAGCTCGTGGTTACTGTATAATGTGAAGAATGCTAAGTGGATTAAAGCTTTCCAGTATTGATTAACCATAACTGTTATCGATTAAATTATTAAATTATAAAATTTTATAAAACATCATCATAAGGTCGTCAGTCCTAAGACTAGTTAGACACACACTTTCACTCCTTCCTATCTTGAACTAATCTTCGCATTTCCCTAAAACTACAACATTCCACATCCTTAACTATTTGCGAAAAATGAACTTCAGTTTTTTAGTATTACGCATATGTATAGTAGGGAAACCCTCATTAGTTTTCATAATATCCTACGAACTGTAATTTTCGTCGATAGGATTTACAAGCGTTTTTCTAGTTATAGGGAAATGCGAAGATTAGTCTAACCAGTCTTAGGATTGACGTCCTTATGATGATATCAAAGTAACACGACAAAGTCTTATCATCATCATCATAAGGTCGTCAGCCCTAAAATTGGTTCGACACGCACCTCCACTCTTTCCTATCTTGAGCTAATCTTCGCATTTCCCTAAAACTAAAGCAAGCCACATCCTTAACTATTTGCGAACAGTAATCTAATCCAGGTCTACTTCTACTCCTCTCAACTCCTGTTTCCGCCTCTAATATGTCTCTGACTAGACCTTCATGCCTGAGAAGGTGTCTTACCAACCTATCTCGCTTATTTCTTATTGACTTCCATAGAGTCCTCTGTTCTCCGATTCTTTCCAATACCTCTTCATTTATAACTTTTTCTACTCACGATATCCTCATCATTCGCCTGTAACACCACATTCCGAACGCTTCTAACCTTTTCGTTTCCGCCGCACCCACCGTCCATGTTTCGCACCCATACATCGCCGTGCTTCAAACATGCACCTTTAACAATCTTTTTTAAATTTCTAAAGCAATAATGCGCGAGCATAGAAGTGACTTCTTTTAATAGAGGACGATTCGACCCTATGCTGTCCTCTACTTCATATCCCTACTACTCTTTCTGCCCTTATTTTATAAACCATTTGCTTAAAAATCTCCAAATTTTGCACATCTTTCTGTTGTAGTTAGTGTCGCTACACCCAGTATAAATATTTATGATATTAAAAAACATATGTAACATTATACATTGCTGTGTATAATACCATCAGAAGCAGTGCACATGTTGGTTTCTATGCGTGGGATACAGATTTTCATATGTGTATAGTATATAACCAACTGTTGTTTTTTAAATCTTTCCGAATGAAATTAAATATGTCTTCATATAGAGCGTCTTCATGCACATGCATCAACAGATTTTTTTAAGATTCTTAAATCGACATTTCTACCTAATCGTTACCTTGAAATTCAATTCTCGTAATTTAGCCGATAATTGTCGGCATTTCTTTCATTTTCTCATTCTCGTTGACATGTGCATTTATAAGGATGGTAAATTGGTAAGGTAATATCTAAGGATAGTTGTGATTTCAGAGTAGTCGCTACTGTGATCATTCCAATACTTAGCATAGGTTTGCAAATTGAAGTGGGTCGGATTCTAAATTGTTTCTTATACAATAGATATACCTATGGCAGTGTTACATTGTCCTTTTACATACTCCTTTTCGCGATTGTGTTTGTGTGACTTGAAGCTACATAACTAGATAATTTATTCATTAATCAGCATAATTAATTTAAACAAATATATACAGTTTGTTTCAAAAGAGTTTCCCTGGTCAATG